ACTGATAACCTGTGGGATCCGGGGGGGTGTTCTGTTTGTGGAGTGCGAAACTCTGCTCGAAACAGACCCAGATCCAACAAGAAGGCCAACCAACCATCACTCACGCGTAGTGCGAAACTCACACCGGGGGAAACTGGCGACGGAACAGTAGACGTGTCTGCCCAGAAAACAAATCTGTGGCTGAGACGTTCAAATCCCGCACTGAGGTCCCCCAATAATGCTTTTGGTGCTACACAAAGACAAAGGCCGACTGTTTGGCACAAACCGAGGGTTCTCAATTTTGGATGTCGGCGAACTTACTGCAGGCTTCCCCCGTGCGAACAGCGAGAAGCGAATACCCGACCGCCGACCGGGGCCAGGGACATGCAAGAACACAGATGTCTTCCGAATCGATGCGGCATCCCGTTACAGAAGTCGTTGGAGCGCGCATAAGAGAACATCCCCCAGGCATAGAACACATGGATTTCGCTAGGGCAAACGCGTCGGGCATGCGGGTCTCTAAGGCGTGCGGGACGCCAAGTTCACTGGGATCCAAAATTTCCATGCAAGCCCGTGAAGTGTCGACAAGTCCGCTGATATCCGAACTTATTCTGGAGAACAAAAAGAGCGCGGGGGTGGTGGATTTGGGGTACGGGGGGGGGGTGAGTTTCTTGGTCCGTCGGAACTGTAGTGTCGGAATCATGGAATGTGGCGAAAGAAGTCCGGAGCGATTTGGAGGCAGTGTCTAAAGTTTGGCGAGCACAGCGCCTCTGGCAGGAAGTCCGCCGCCATCCGAACTTCTTCCACCACACCCTCGTAGCGTGAGACCCCCAATATTAAAGGTCTTGGGAAAAAAGACGTGAAACATAAAATTTGCATTTTCCGGGAAACAATTGCGTGCCGGCTTTGACGAACGTAGAGGCCGCTGCTCGAACTTCGGATGTCGGCGGACCTCGCCCATCCGCTCTGCGTCGACGAGCGGAAAGTTTCTTCGACGGGTTGCAGATAGGAACAGTAAGTTCGTCGGGATCCGGACTTGAGCTTCGAGCACCGCTGGTAGACTGTTTTCGATTAAGTTCGTTAAACGTCAAGTCCGTCCGCATCCGAACTTCAACCGCTGGCCATTGGAACCAGTGTGTGAAGTTGGGCGAACACAGGGCCTCTGGCATGAAGTCCATCGGCATCCCGATTTCATCCGCCTCAACCCGGCGCCTGTAACATTCCAAAAAACAGGTCCTGGAGAAAACAAAATTCGAATACAAGCGTCGACACGTCGATGGAGTCCCGTGCCTCACGTTGTCAAGTCCGCCGAAATCCGGACTTCTCCAGTAGCCAACAGAGGTCGCTGCTCGAAGTTCGGATCCCGGTGGACTTCGTCCATTCGCTCTATATCGACGAGAGTGATCTGGTAAGCACCTCTGTCACGATGTTTCGACTGCGGTGCCGCGCGAAGTGCAACACCGCATGGGAGGGAGTTGGGAGGAGGGGGGCGAAGGGGGGGGGGGGATGTCTGTCGGGGGGGGCTGAATATGTTCGCTGCGAGTGGGCGTAAGCACTCCAATGTTGATCATTGAGAAGCACCGTTCATTACATTCGAATGACCTCACACACGACGGAACACACACTCCTCTCATCACTCGTATCGCCAATGTCGGGAGATCGTGCATATGTGTGTGTGTGCTGGCTCGAGCGATAAATCGTCCGCGTGTGTTTGTCTATCGCGTCTTTATCGCTTGAGCAATCATACATGGCTTCTGCATCACGATGTGTTTCGTTGCAAAAACACAATCCAGTAAACTTTTGCAAACTATCTCTCGTTCGTGTGTGTTGTGAATCTTGTGATGAGTTGAGAGATAGTGGAGATCTATGTGCGTGCGGGCTCAGACAATAAACACGAGATCGCGTGCATTGATAGGTGACCATCGCGACATGGCCTCTTCCGCTCGACCCATTCGCTTGAACCATTAGACACAGGAACGCGCACGATCTCTCTGCAGGTCGATCAAGCAAAGCGTCGGTCGCTAGGATGCAAAACAACAATCCTTTACTGGCCTCATCGACGATCAATTTGTTCCTAAACAGATTGTATGATTGCACGAGCGGTGATTTATTTGTCGAAAGTTTCTCGATGGACAGTCGACTGCTTCGGCAATATCGGCGGTGTTTTCACACTGCCCTGCGCCCGCACAAACGCACACAAAGCACTTCACCCACACCCCTTGATTCGTCGGACATTCGGTTCACCGAGAGAAACAAATGTCGAGTCGCGTAAGCACACAATCATGGAGAAATAAAATTTTGATGCGCTTACTGATGCACGTGTGAACACAGACGCTGGCTGCGATTACCGCTGATTCTGGTTTGGAGATTGAGCGGGAAACATCTCTTGGCTGATCAGATGATCGGTTGATAGGCTTGTAGTTGATGTGTTTAATGGTTCTTACAGTGATCGTCTTTTTCGACCCTAACGCAGATCGTGAGATGTGCGCACGCAGGTGAAAAAACACTCACAAACACATGCCAACATACTCTGTGCTGTTCGATCAGATGCGTCGTCGAACGTTTCAGTTCTACAGATCGGATGGGTATATCTAGAGAGATCTTCACACACACACACACACACACACACACAAACACACATGCACACACAGAGAGATTGGGATACCATTGGGATATTCACACACACACACACACACACACACACACACACAAACACAGATCGGGATGATAGGACGACCTGATGTGCGTGTTTCGCTGGCGATCGGATGTTCTGTCGCACGTTTCGGTTCGACAAATAAAACATTCGACCGCAAGTGATGGATAGCATCTTCGGGACGTTTGTCATCCAGCGGCTCATCGCCGCACAACTACCATGGAACGAGAGAGAGGGCAGTTTTCATTGCCGCACGGCAGTCAGGACGCTCGGCGCGGCTCATTCATCCACATGCAATCCATTCGACCTGCAAAACATAACATAAAAAGGTGTGCATGTTGATAAACCTCATGCCAACACCGTCGCGAATAAAAGTTTCTTGTCCGCGACAAAGGGATGGACACTTACCGCTTTGGATGACGACATCTCAGAATGGAACGTGCGCTTGCTGACGTGGCAGTAACGCAGTGTCCCGTAAACGCCTGCCTGCCAAAACGCACTCGAACCAAGCCTGCCAGCACGTCCATGATTGGTGAAGGACAAACTGGCGCTGAGCAAGTGTTCGTCAGACTTCGCAGTGCATGCAAGCAATGGAAATGTCGTGGCGCGGCGTACGCACAAGCGATGCCAACGCAGTGGCGCGACGCGGCGCAAGCGATGGCGATGGCGTGACGCCACATATGCGATGGCGATGGCGCGAGCGATAACGATCGTGGCGCGGCGCGGCGCAAGCGCAGGTGTTGTTGAGATCGATCGTGGCTCGGCACGGAGCAAGCGATGGCGCAAGCGGTGGCGCAATGAGCGAGCGTGGGTGTTCACGAGAGCGCAGGTGCGGGCTAACAGTCCGGCAGCATCTCCCCGCCAAAATTTTGAGATTCGAAATAAGCTTCGAGGGGCTTTCGCGCTATTCACACGCGCGCAAAACCGGGGTGCACAAAGACCCCCCTGGCCCATTTCGGAAATGCACAAAAAAAAAGCGAGCACGGGACCCTTCGCCGTGTCGCCCTACCCGACCCGACGAGACGCCCGCACGTCGGCGGGTCGCACGATCTGCGCAATCGACGACAGCAGTGAGCTGTCGAGTAGGGTCGCCAGAAGGCGAGAGGCCATTCGGGCAACCACCGACGGGCAGCTTCGGAGGGCATGGCGTGGGATACTGACGCTGAGAATTCGTCAAGAAAAAGGGCAGGAGGACATTCCCGGCGAAACGTTTGGGGGGGGGGGGGAGTGCTTCTTCAATAGGGCTGTTGCGCAGGGGACGGTTGGGCTTCCGAGGGGGTGGTTTGACGGCAGTCGACGGGCGGGGCGGTTTTTTCACGGCGACATTCGAAACTGGGTGCGAAGGCCTGGAAGAGTCGTCCGATTCGGCCATCGTTCGGTTGAGTTTCCACCAGGCCAGACGGCTCGCAGCCCGGACGTCACCGTGCACAACGACGGGGGGGAGGCCTGAAACTTTTGTTGCTCATTTCCACGTCCGCAGCGCCACGCCATCGTCGTCTTCCGCCAGAAGCTACGCTGCGTCGTCATCATCATCAGCTCCATTGCCGCTTCCTCGACATTGCGCTCCGTTTCCCTGACTGATTTCTTGCTCCACGCCCAACCCGCTGTGTTCCGCCATCACCGTTTTCAGCTCGCGCCTGCGCCGCACCGTCGTCAACGACTCTGACTTCCACACCCGGTAAGGCAACGTAACGCTCTGCGACCCGGCATCGCGCCAAACGCCTTTCCATGATTCCCTCTTTAACGACTCAGCACCTGTTTCCTTCCGTCACTCCTTCTCTCTTCCCTTCACTCCTCACCGTCTGCATCCTTCCGTTTTTCACCCACCATCAACACGCCATCCCCGTCTACAGCTTGCTCCACTGCGTTGCCATCCGCGATCTCCACCACAGGTGACGCGCATTTGCCCTAGAAGACCCAACGGCGCTCGCACACCATGGCGCGCACGATGAAGTGCGCGCGAGACTCATCCCCTTCTCTCTCTCTCTCTCTCTCTCTCTCTCTCTCTCTCTCTCTCTCTCTCTCTCTCTCTCTCTCTCTCTCTCTCTCTCTCTCTCTCTCTC